ATAATTTTTTGAAAAAAAAAAAATAATTATAATTTAAATGTGATATTTTATTTTATTAATCTTTTAACTTATTTTATTTTTTTCGTACTTATTTAGTGTTTAGCTCTTGCCAAACGAAACCTTATAAGATCATCCAAGCAGAATAGTAGTACAAGAAATCTAATTGATCAAACAACTGTAACCATGTAATTAGTTTACATATATCTTTAATAAAGAAAAAAGAGACAGGCTATTCACAAAATTATACACTTGTTATTTATTTATTTATTTTGAAGACAAATCTAATTTGATATTTTAGATCTGATTGTCCGATTAATTTGGTTTTTGCATGAATGGTTTGCTTAGAGAGTTCTATAAAATAAACAGTTCAAATTCTTAAGATAGAATCATGATGCGCCCATAAAATTTAATGCCTTCCTCCAATTAGGCTCAATTAAAGAGAATCCTAATTTTTAAATATTTATTCGTATCTTAGAGCATCTCCAACGTTAACTCACATTTTTTTTTATCAAATTTAAATAAATAAAAAAAAGAAAAAAGATTGAATGTATATTTAGTTTTAGTTGTGAATCTTAAAAAAAAAAAAAAAAACATATGGGGAAATTAGGGGGTACCCATCCCCTGTGGATATTTAAAGAATATCACCTACCCTACCCAATGGATAAGAAAAAGAGGGGAAAACCCATGTATTTGGGTTGGGTCTCCATGGATACCCACAGGGTAGGTTATCCATTGCCATCCCTACTGTGAATGTTGGAAATTTATAAACAAAAGGTTTAGATGGGGAAAGGGTTCACCATTGTAAGGAAAAAAAAAAAAATTTAAAAGCAAAATTGTAGTAGGGATTTTTTCGGAAAAAAAAAAAAAAAAACTTTGCATAAACAAAAGAAAAAAAAAACAAAGTGGGAATAAGTGACTTAATTATGGTTGTTTGTCTTCTTCTTTTGACAAAAAGCGGCAAATATAAATGGGCATTGCTAAGTATTCTTAATGTGTGTTGAAACAACTCATTGTTTCGATATGTTTGACAATGTTTTGTTATGCTTTTGTGGAAACGTTGGAATTTTGGTATTCTACTAATGTTTAGTTTCAGTTTCCTAAAAAACGGAAACATTGCAGCCATTTCGATGGAAAGGAAATGAAATGAAATTTTGTTCTTTATATTAGATGCATAGCAATTTTTTTGACATGGGTATTTGGAGCCTTTCACGGTGGCCTTGCAACAGATGAATTGTGAGACAGATGATGGATTCTGAAACAGTACTGACCAACACCATCACAACGGTTAATCTTGTATTATTGGCTTGTAGGTTAAATCTATTATATGCTTAGTCTTGTTTAAACTTTGTGCAGGTATGGTTCTGTCTTGATGGGGAAGGAGATTTCTAGCTTTAAATCCATCATGAAATCATTTATGGTTTTGATTGTGACGGCACTAGCCATGGGGGAGGCTTTGGCTATGGCACCAGACCTTCTAAAAGGGAACCAAATGGTGGCGTCAGTCTTTGAGGTTCTTGACCGAAAAACAGAGGTCAAAGGCGATATTGGAGAAGAGCTGATGAAGGTGGATGGCATTATAGAGCTGAGGGGTGTCCAATTTCACTACCCTTCAAGGCCCGATGTACTCATTTTCAAGGACTTCAATCTAACTGTGCATGCAGGCCAGAGCATGGCATTAGTCGGGCAGAGTGGTTCCGGTAAAAGCTCAGTGCTTGCCCTTGTCCTACGGTTCTATGATCCAGCAGCCGGGGAGGTGATGATTGACAGTGAGTTATTTTCTGATAAATCTGTACTCAACTCTATTAGTTTAAGAAACACTGATACGGACATGATGCTAACATATAAATTTTTAAAAAATTTAGGACATGACATGTAGGGGTCATATACAAAATATATAATTTTATAAATTTATTATATTTATTATTATATGTCATTTATGTATATGAATATTTAACTCAAAAGATAATAATTTTTGAAGTCTAGAGAAGGAGAATATATAAATTTACGTTGCTTTTGTTTTGTCATTGGATTCCAAGTAATTTTATTTATACCTGTAATGTGTTTCCTGTGTGTCCTTTAGTGTTGGGAAGTGTCTGACGAGTATCGGTATCGGACATGACACATTATCTTCTTAGAAGGGTCCGTACTTCTTAGCTACTAGTCATTTTTATCGAGTCTTAAAAGTGGAATTGTTGACACTCACAGGGAAAGATATCAAGAAACTCAAACTCAAATCTCTCCGGAAGCACATTGGCCTAGTCCAACAAGAACCAGCTCTCTTCGCCACATCAATCTACGAAAACATACTTTACGGGAGAGAAGGAGCCTCAGAAGCAGAAGTAATCGACGCAGCAAAACTAGCTAATGCCCATAGTTTTATTAGTGCCCTTCCAGAGGGCTACTCAACCAAAGTTGGAGAGCGAGGAGTTCAACTCTCCGGTGGCCAGAAGCAAAGGGTAGCCATTGCTCGGGCTGTTCTAAAAAACCCGGCTATCTTGCTACTAGATGAAGCCACGAGTGCTCTAGATGTGGAGTCAGAGCGAGTCGTGCAACAAGCTTTGGATAGGCTGATGAAGAACCGAACCACGGTCATGGTGGCCCATAGGTTGTCCACCATTAAAAATGCAGACCAAATATCAGTTTTACAAGACGGGAAGATAATAGAGCAAGGGACTCATTCTAGTCTTGTGGAGAACAAGGATGGGGCATACTTCAAGTTGATCAGCTTACAACAACAGCAACAACATTGTTAGCCGTAACAACCTCAAAAAAACATCTTCTTTTACTGTTGTTATTTTTATTTTTATTTTTCGATAATAAATCTATTGTTTCTATGAAAAGACAATAATTACACATGTTGAGAAATGATTTTACATTTTAGAATGGGTTTGTTTACTCTTCTCTCTTCATGTTCTTTCTTGTTTGAAATGAGTTTCGTGTCTAAGCTAAAATATATGAACAAAGGATTGTTTAAAATGCGAACAATTGAACAAGAAATGTCTCCTAAACTATTGAACAAGAGATGATCAGAAACTCAGTATAATTTTTGAAATGTTAATAATTAGGTATTAAACCTGAACCAGAGGGGTGCCAGTGTAAGAGTAGTGCGCTATATATACAAGATCAAAATTAAGCTGACATTAATCCGAGAGACAAGTGGCTGAAAAAAATATTAAGGAGCCCTTGCTATTAAAACAACAGTAATTTAAGAGGTGTATTTTGGATGGTTCGGCGGGGTTGAAAAGTTAGTTTGAGTTTGTGCTTAGCCTTCATTTGGCATGTCTGACTTTTTGATTTTGTGACTATTTTAGTTACAAAAAAATAAAATAGGCTTTTTAGCCCAATAAAACAAAACATTACATGCAAATTATAATTATTTTATTTTTTCTCTCACAAAAGTTAAAAAAGTCAAAAAGTCAATCTCAAATGAGACTTTTTAGCCCCATGTTAGAATAGCCAAAAAACCAAACAGTCAACTCACATCCCAAATGAACCAGTATTGTCAAGTCCATCCACGTTCGATTTTTAACTCGAACTTGTTTATCCAAATTTGACTTGACTATAATAAATTGAACTTGGGCTAGGTCCAAATTGCTTGAAATACTCACAAATTTGAGTGTTTTTTATTTTTATTTTTACAATTATGTTAATTAATTTATTAAAGTTTGACCCTATTAATTTTTTTTGGATTAAAAGTTATTAGTAAATTAAAACAAATAACTTATATCATAAGAGAAAGATGGAGAAGAGAAATTAGAGAATTGAAAAATCGTTGTGGTTCTGTAACAGTATTTGTCATTTCTGAGTGAAAAAGGAAAAAAGTATTTGTGTTGTGTTATTTGTGTAAATAATATATAGTAATGAATATGATCTAAAAAAGAAAAAAGAAAAAAAAGGCCTAAATAGTGCACATTAATGTGTGTTGGGGAGGTGAAAATTATATACACAATTTTGGTTTGAGTTGCTCTGGTTTGTAATATATTGTTCAAGCCCTAAAAATTTCAAATTGAGTACGAATTACTCGGGTTAAACCCATCCAAATTACATCCTAAACAATGTCATTTTTACACATTATTGGGTCTTTATTTGGGTCCATACATCATTTCCCTACTTGTCATTTCCATTTTCTTTAAATTATAATAAGATATATATATGGATAAATCACACTTTATGCCCCTCAATTTTATACCCATTTTTATTTTGTCCCTTGACTTTATAATTATCTCAGTTAACCCCCAAACTTTCACTCAAATTGTATATGGGTCCTTTTAGATAACTCTATTTCAAAAACTAACAAACAACAATTACGTAGTAGTATAAATTACATTTTGCTCTTTTGCATTTTTATTGAAATATCACTTTAGTCTTTAACATCTTTATACTTTTATCAAAATCTCACTTTAGTCCCATCGTTTTAGTCTCTTCATTAATTTTTTAAAAAACGTTATATGACTGGGTGTAAATATAATTTTACTTAAAAATTAGGAAGTTAATTGAGACAATTAACAAGTTAGGAGTACAGTGAAATTGAATTTAAAATGTAATTTACTCTCTCTTTCTATACATAGAGTAAAAGAGATTAGTCACCCATTTTGGAACCAAAAAAAATAAAAATAAATAAATAAGGTCACATTGATGTTTTGGCTTTTGTTTTCCATGTTTTTGTTCTTATAAGTAGTTCTCCCTCCCAACGGGGTCCTTTTTGGCCCCTCAAAATCATGACTATTAGAGTCTTCCTAAGGTACAAGTTTTGGCATTGAAAAATGAGTATTGCTATTCAAGCTAAAAAATTATATCTACTTTCTAGACCTAATGATATGGCGCTCTATTAAATATCTAAGTCAATTATGTCTCTCATTTATTCTTTGGTTATCAATCAATCATTTTGTTGACAAATTACTGGGCCTAGAAAGTGAGTTTAGAAAATAGACTTGTATATCATTTTTTTTTTGAGAAATTAAATAATTATTAAAACATTACTCAATATAGGTCAATTAGCTTAATAAAAAAATTATAGAAGACTAGTTTTATTTAAACATATTATTCACTTTTCATGAACCATGTAATAATTTAAAATATTACTAATGTTCTTATACTCATAAAGTTTCACAAGAAATTCAATCAAAAATAAAAGATAATTGGCTATCTCACACGGGAAGGCCTAGAGTGTGCATCTTTTAAGGGTGCATACCATATATACCTTACTACAAATTGGAGTAATTTTATCGTAAAATTTTGTAGCATCAACAATAAAATACGTGATCTCGTCACAAATTAATTTAACAAAATGTCGTAATTCATATAACAAAAGTTTGTGATTTAGTTACGATATTTTTTATCACGCCAGTTTGTAACAAAGTTACGCATTTTATAGTTGATCTTACAAACACATGTTTTGGATTATAGCCAATGGAAAATGTTTATTTCTTTTCTTTTCTACCATGTGCTTATTATTTATTGTATGAAATTCTTTATTGAATTTTCGTGTAACTGGACGCAAATATAGGCAGAACTAACTCAAAAAGAGGGGCCTTCATATATATTTTAAAAAATATATATTAGTAAAATAACAAGTATCTTTAATTTTTTGTGCTTGTACCTATGCATAATTTAGTTGCATGTATAAACAGGAAAATTACAATTTTTTTATTCACGCTATGCACGAAAATCACTTTAAATATTAGGTGAATAGATTGTGTGTAAAATAAAGAAAAATGTCTCATCCTCCCATTTCATCACTCCCAATTGCACCTCTAATAAGGTAGCAAATAATAACAACCGATCTACTATTTTCAAAGTGTGGGACCGCTTCACACGAAAGTGAGCCACGTCATTAGGCGTGACATTAGTGATACAAAATTAAAGGAATGTAACACAATTCGGGCAAAGATCTCATATGTATTTATTAATTTGAACCCTACTGCCTTTGTATATAGGAAAATGTTTTGTGAAAATGTTCTTTATATATCGCGTTGTTCTTTTTCGTATGACTTAACAAACTTAGAGTTTTAAATAGTGGCTTACAAGTATAAAGTAATAAGTAATATGTATTTAAAATCAGATGATGTAATTGTGAATTTAAAAAAAAAAATGATCAATAAGTAAAAAAATTTATACATACTTTCATACCAAAATGATGTAGTAATGACAATCTTAAAAATATAAATCACGTTGATAAATCTTTATTTTAAAAGAGATATGACTCAGTGCCATATCATTCTAGAACACAATTTTATATAGACTTTTTGTTTATACAGAATTACTCTTTTTAAAATCATCAATCACAAAAAAGAGTTTTACGATTGCAAAACTAGCTATGTCGATTATGAATCGGATTGTGAATATATTATGAAGTGCACTTATACATATACAATTTTTTATTTTACTAACAAATTAAGGTATATCAATATTAGAAGGCAAAAAATTCATACATATCACTGATATTTAAAATTAGCAGTAAACTTGTTAATAGTTGCTTGGACGTGAGTTATTATGTGGGATTGGTGTCATATGAATTGCTATGATTGATTTCTTTTGCTCACATATCATTTACCAATTTTCTACTTGTTTTAGCAAAATGGGTGTTATGTTATTGTAATTTTGCTTCAAGATATTACTTGTTGGTTGGTTTGTTAAAGTGATTGCTGTGGTATATTATGTTGTTCAATTGATTGAGCATAAATTTAGCTTCTGATTGGTTTATTAGGTATCTTTATGAATGTATTGAATTTTTGAACCCTTACCCATTTGTAATTTTCATTGTCTTGCTGTTACTAAAATTTGAAACTAAAGTTGTTATTGGAAAACCTGTAAAAATCAATTAGGTAACTCTTATTGTTTGAAATGATTTTTGATTTTTTTGTGTATATAGCATTTTTATTTTAAAAATTGGTTAAATTAGTTTGAATCACTAGCTAAATTAGATAGTGATGCTGGGGCAAAGTACAAAATTGTGTTTCCAAACAATGATTCTACACCCATATTCCAATATGATGTTTGGAACGAATTCTCAAATCACATTTCCACAACTCTGCAGAAAACTCTGTGTGGGGTGCGTTTTTCAATTTTTTTTTTTCAAGTTTGGCATAACCGGTCGTCCTACCAGATGTCCTACCGGACGTCCCACCGGTCGTCCAGCCGGTTGACCGGAACAGTGCAATTTTTTTTTGTTTTTGCAATTGACATATGTTAATTTTTATATATTCAAAAAAAAGATTTTTCGAATTTTTAAAATTTTTTTATGTGCTTTAATAGAATTTTGAGTTGTATGTTTAGTTATGAGTTGTAAGTTTTTGCATCAAATATCATATGTCACATCAAAAATTCCCCACTCAATTCAAAACTTTTTTCAAAACTCTTTTACTAAACAAATTTTCCACACTCAAATCATAATTCCAAAACTCACAAACTCAAAATACAACTCATACTCTCAAATCATATTTACAAAACTCTACCAAACGCAACCTAATTTTTTTTTATCTACTTTTGCTAGTAAAGTTGGAGTTTCTCTACTGACACTATCCATGTTCAAACCTGACTGGCAGTCTCATCATATCTGAAGTGGGTAAAAATTGATCAAGTCTTGGTGCTAGGCCCAATGCGATACTTACTCCAAGGTGGAGCTAGGTCGGACCTCAGCCCTATGCCCAACACTTGCTCCGAAGCAAGACAATCATAGAAGCTCGGCCCAATGTACGAATGTCACTCCAAAGTGGGCCGAGCAGCACGGTGGACCTCCTGGACGGACAGCCAACCACTTCGAAGTAGGTTGAGTAACATGTTGAACCTCCTGGACGGACAGACAACCACTCCGAAGTGGGTTGAGCAACATGTTGGACCTCTTGGACGGACAGCCAACCACTCTGAAGTGGGTTGAGCAACATGTTGGACCTCCTGGTTGGACAACCGT